GCGGCCGGCCCAGCCGGCCTGCTGCCGCCGCGGCCCGTCGTGGCCCCTGGCTGCCTCGGCGCGGCCGCGGCGCCGCCGCCGCGCCGGCCGCCGCCGCCGCCGCGGCCGTGGCGGCGGCCGGCCGCGGCGAGGCCCCGCGGCCGCCGGCGCTGTGGCGCGCGCTGCGGCTCAGGGGCCTGCGGCGCGCCGCGGCCGCCGCGGGTGCGGCGGCTGCCGCTGTGGCCGCCGCGGCCGCTGGTGCCGCCACACCCGCCGATGCGCCCGCCGCGGCCGCCGCTGCCGCCGCCGCGCCGCGGCCGCCTCGGGCGGGCCGCTGGCGGCGGCCGCCGCCGCTGGCTTCACTGGTCTTGAAGCTGGCGCCCAACATCATCACCTACGTCATCCTGAACAGCTGGTGCGAGAAGGGCAGGCCTGGGCAGTGGCAGCTGGCCGTGGCGCTGGTGGGCGAGATCCTGGTCGGGAAGCTGGAGCCCAACATCATCACGTACGGCACTGTGAACAGCGCGTGCGAGAAGAGCAGGCGCTGGCAGCGGCAACAGGTTGTGGCGCTGCTCATCGAGACCCCGGTCGTGAAGCTGAAGCCCATGTGCATCAATTCTGGCACGGTGAACAGCGCGTGCGAGAAGAGCAGGCGTTGGCAGTGGCAGCAGGCAGTGCCGCTGCTGGGCGAGATGGTGGCCGCGAAGCTGGAGCCCACCATCATCACCAACGGCACTGCGAAGAGCGCGTGCGAGAAGAGCAGGCGGCAGCAGTGGCAGCTCGTTGTGGCGCTGCTGGGCGAGATGGTGGCCGCGAAGCTGGAGCCCAACGTCATCACCTACGACACAGTGAAGAGCGCGTGCGAGAAGAGCAAGCGTCAGCAGTGGCAGCAGGTTGCGGCGCTGCTGGGCGAGATTGTGGCCGTGAAGCTGGAGCCCAACATCATCACCACCTACGTCATTGTGAACAGCGCGTGCGAGAAGAGCAGGCGTTGGCAGTGGCAGCAGTCTGCGGCGCTGTTGAGCAAGATCCTGGTCGTGAAGCTGGAGCCCCTGATCATCACCTACTGCACCGTGAACAGCGCGTGCGAGAAGAGCAGGAGTCGGCAGCGGCAGCAGGTCATGGCGCTGCCGAGCGAGACCCGGGTCGCGCAGCTGGAGCCCAACATCATCACCTACGGCATCCCAAACAGGCCGTGCGAGCAAGGCGGACGTTGGCAGTGGCAGCAGGCAATGGCGTTGCTGAACGAGATCCTGTCCGCGAAGCTGGAGCCCAACATCACCACGTACGTCACTGTGATCAGCGCGTGCGAGAAGAGCAGCCGTCGGCAGTGGTTGCAGACTGTGGCGCTGCTGAGCGAGATGGCGGTCGTGCAGCTGGAGCCCAACATCATCACCGACTGCATACTGAACAGCCGGTGCGAGAAGGGCGGGCGCTGGCAGTGACAGCAGGCAATGGCACTGCTGAGCGAGATGGTGGTCGCGCAGCTGGAGCCCAAGACAGCGGCACACCAGATGGCACCCAAGAAGACAGTTGCCGCGCGGAGAATCTCGCTCACCAGTGGCAGGCAGAGCTGAAGAACGGCCGCGTAACCATGCTGGCGACCATGGGCTTCATCACGCCTGACATCGCTGGCAAGCTTCCCAAGTCGCCTTCGGCTGACCTGGAGCTCGCGGACATCACGCGCGGGCTCGTTGCGCCCCCGAAGGTTCCCGCCGCTGCCTGGGCATAGATCGCGGCGCCTGGCGCTGACGCGAGAGATCTCGATACTCACAACGATATCTCGGAACATAGCAGCAGCAGCAACATACTACCCCCCGCCTCGTTGGCAGATGATGACGTCCCAGAGGGGAATCGAGAGGCGGTAGATGAGGCGGAGGAGGTCGTCGTCGATGAGGTTCAGGAGAGCTGCAGACACCAGCAGAGCAGCAGCAGCAGCAGCAACAGGGCTGCAGCAGCCGCAGCAGCCGCAGCAGCCGGGCAGCAGCAGCAGCAGCAGCAGCCGCAGCAGCAGGGCAGCAGCAGCAACAGCTGCAGCAACTGCCGCAGCAGCAGCAGCAACAGGACCCAGCAGCAGCCGCAGCAGCAGGGCAGCAGCAGCAGCAGCAGCAGCAACAGCACCCCGCAGGGCAGAGGAAATGAGGCAGAGGTCACGATACCACCCCCCGCATCGTTGTCAGACGATGACGCCCCAGTGGGGAATCGAGAGGCGGTAGCTTGCAGTGATCAGCGCGCAGCTCATACTACCCCCCCCCCCCTTCAGCAGCACCAGCAGGGCAGAGGAAAGGAGTGGGAAGTCACGGCGGAGACGGCGGAGGCTGCGGAAGCCGCGGAATATCCCACTCAGAGCAATCAGTCCGTCAGCAGTCCTTTGGGAGCGCCACGCACCCAGAGGGAGACCGCGGAACAACCATCCAGACGCAGGACAGCGAAGCCATCCGCTGGCTTGTCGGGAGAAACCCCGTCGCGCCTATTCGCCCCCCTTCCCCTGTCAGCGAGCTCCCTGCGGACGGCGAACCCCGGGCGCCCTCGCCAGGCGCCCGGGGCACCACCGGCAAAGCAGCTCGCGCCCCGGCTTTGGAAGCTGCGCCGCTGAGCGCCCACGCCCCCGGCACAACCAGTGGCACCCCAGAGACCGGAGAGAGTCCTGCGCTGTCCTCAGGGAGCGCACCTGGGAGCGAAGGCGGGCACAGGCCCGAAGGCGAACGCCAGCGAAAGGGGCCCTTCTTCACGCGCCACAAGGCCGCGTCTGCCCGGGCCGCCGGACGCGATCCGACCCCAGCCTGGCGGCCAACCATGCGGCCTGCATTTCCCCGCGAAACCCTGCCAGGCGCGCAGCCGGAGCTGTCGCGAGCAGATCGCGAGCCCCCCAGCCAGGACATCGAGGCCGGCACGTTGGAGACTTGCGGCCAGGATTCACGGCGGCCCCAGAGACCCGACCCGCGTCAATGGCCAGAGCCCAAGGACCCCGACACGGGACAACAGCTGCACAAGACAGGAATCAACAACACCCTGGGGAGACACCCGGCGAGGCGATACGACGACTCCAAGTCACACTGGGGCCAATGTTCCCTGGCACCTGGCACGCTTTCGCGGAGCGGCAGTGCGCGCCCGGCAGCAAGGACGCGCTCGACCCGCTTCGGCACAACCCGCAAACCTGCCACCTCTTCCTGGAACCCTTCGCAGCCACAGGTGCGACGCACGGGCCCTCAGCGACGCGATGGGCCTCGACGTCGACTGGGCTCGGCCGCGGCAGCTTCACCTGGGTTGGAGCGGCGGAGCGAGCAGTGATCACCACGCGGCAAGGGGCCACCCGAACAACCAGGCCCCCAAGAAGCGCAAAAAAACAGTGGTGGGCCGTCTCCCCGCAGCAGCCTTGCTACCCCCCTCGCGGCATCGCACGCGCGGGGATCAGAGCGCGGAGGGCGGCCCCTGGCAGCAGGCCCGTCGCTGCCCTGCAGAGAGTGTGTCTCGCGGCGGTTAGCTGCACCCCCCTCACGCGCAGATGTTCTCGGCGTGCAGCTGCTACCATGTCACCTGGATGTCCAATCATAGATGGGGCTCTCGTAGACACACTCTGTTGGCTCACACTTTGCAAACGGCATCGCACTCGCGGGGATCAGGTGCGAGGAGGATGGTCTCTGGCAGCAGGCCCGTCGCTGCCCTGCGTCGCGGCCTGCGGGAGGGACGCCTCCGGGCCCACAGGCCCTGGACGCGCTCAATCGTGGTCCACATGTGCCGGCGCACTGCCGAGATGCGGGGCGCTCAACTGGCGCCCCCTTCGCCCGTGGCAGCGCACATTCGGGTCGCAATTTCGTGGCACGCCAACCCCCCTCATCGCATGCTCTTTGCGAGTTGATATACCAAGGTCTGTGTACGACTCCTGTTTCGTTCCGAACTTGTCTACGCGCTGCGCGCGTGGCTATACCGTCGACCTCGGTAAGTTTATCCTCTATCTGCGCGCTGCGCGCGCGGCTATACCGTGGGCAGTCGGGTTTTCTACTCTGAGATCCACCTTCTCTGTTGACTACGTGTTGTACACCGTACTCATCAGCGCGATTGGGGGTCTCATACTTCCCCCCTCTTGGTTCTGACGAGCTGTTGTCGGACGTGCCGTGCATCTCCATGGAATATACCATTCCTGCAGCTTTCCACCCCCCACCGTGCACCTGTGTTCAGCGGCTTTTGGCAGCGCCCCCCCCCTGCAGGTGGCCGCGGAGGAGCAACAATGGACCGTTGGACAGGAGGTACAGTGCAGAAGTGTGGACTTAGCGACAGCAGTGTGAATGATCGGCGTGTCCCGCGGGTTCTCCTGTGGCTGCATCCCGGCGCCGGGCCCCTGGGGGGCCGCCTCTTGTCCAGGGTCCGCCCTCTGTGCTTCTGGTACTCTTGCATCCCGTTTCTGTCGGTCAGCGGTGACGGTGGCACCGCCCTCTCCAGCGTGGCCCACTTGGGCCGGCGCACTGCCGGGATGTCCCTGCAGCTTCCACCCCCCGCCGTGCACCTGTGTTCAGCGGCTCTTGGCTGCGCCCCCCCCCTGCAGGGCCGAGGGGAACAACAATGGACCGTTTGACATGAGGTACAGCGCAGAAGTGTGGACTCAGCGGATGCAGTGGCGCGTGTCCCGCGGGCTCTCCTGTAGCATGCATCCTGGCGCCGGGCTCCCTGAGGGGCCGCCTGTGGTCCAGGGTCCGCCCTCTGTGGCTCTGGTACTCTGGCATCCCGTTTCTGTCGGTCAGCGGCGGCGGTGGCACCACCCTCTCTAGCGTGGTCCACATGTGCCGGCGCACTGCCGGGATGCCCCTGCAGCTTCCACCCCCCACCGTGCACCTGCGTTCAGCAGCTTTGGGCTGCGCCCCCCCCTGCAGGAGGCCGATGAGGAACAGCAATGGACCGTTGGACAAGAGGTACTGTGAATGGTGCCCCGCGTGAGGCACGGAGGCCCTGCTGCAGGTTCCACCCAGCCCCCAGAGGCCGAGAACGAGGCTCCCGCAGGGAACCTAGAGGCGTCCGTGGACGAGGTATCTGGAGTGAATCAACACGTGCCCATGGAATTGGACGGCGCTGGCCACCCACCAAGGGGGCAGGTCACCAGACCCCCCCTTGCAGCGACGGGCGCATCACCTCAGAGACCGCCAGGCGTCTATGGACGAGCGGACTCCGAGCAGACAGCATTGCTCCTGAGGGCCGTCCAACCCTCCTCCTCCTCCTTCAAAAATCAGCGGTCCACATGCGCCGGCGCATCGCCGGGATCCCCGTCCTGATCCCAGTTCCGTTCTCGCCTCCCTCTTCCCCCCGCAAGGGGTCAGGCCGTGTGCGCGGAGCTCCAGCAGCAGGTCCCACCCAGCCCCCAGAGGCCGAGAACGGGGCTCCTGTAGGGAACCAGGAGGCGTCCTTGGACGAGGTATCTGGAGAGAGTCAACTCGTGTCCATGGAAGTGGACGGCGCTGGCCACCCACCAAGGGGGCAGGGTACCAGACCCCCCCTTGCAGCGACGGGTGCCTCACCTCGGAGACCGCTAGGCGACGATGGAAGAGCGGGCTCCGAGCAGACAGCCCTGTTCCAGTGGGCCGCCCTTCCCTCCTCCTCCTTCAATTCATCGGTGACTGCGGCTTTCGGCTGCGCCCCCCAGACTACAATGGACCGTTGGACAAGTGGTACAGTGCAGAAGTGTGGACTCAGCGGCTGCAGTGGGAACGGACTGCGTGTCCCGCGGGCTCTCGTGTGGCTTGCCTCCTGGCGCCGGGCCCCCTGCCGCCGCTGCTCCCGGGTCCGCCCTCTGTGGCTCCGGTACTCTTGCATCCCGTTTCTGTCGGTCAGCGGTGGCGGTGGCACCACCCTCTCCAGCGCGGTCCACATGCGCCGGCGCATCGCCGGGATCCCCGTCCTGATCCCAGTTCCGTTCTCGCCTCCCTCTTCCCCCCGCAAGGGGTCAGGCCGTGTGCGCGGAGCTCCAGCAGCAGGTCCCACCCAGCCCCCAGAGGCCGAGAACGGGGCTCCTGTAGGGAACCAGGAGGCGTCCTTGGACGAGGTATCTGGAGAGAGTCAACTCGTGTCCATGGAAGTGGACGGCGCTGGCCACCCACCAAGGGGGCAGGGTACCAGACCCCCCCTTGCAGCGACGGGTGCCTCACCTCGGAGACCGCTAGGCGACGATGGAAGAGCGAGCTCCGAGCAGACAGCCCTGTTCCAGTGGGCCGCCCTTCCCTCCTCCTCCTTCAATACATCGGTGATTGCGGCTTTCGGCTGCGCCCCCCAGACTACAATGGACCGTTGGACAAGTGGTACAGTGCAGAAGTGTGGACTCAGCGGCTGCAGTGGGAACGGACTGCGTGTCCCGCGGGCTCTCGTGTGGCTTGCCTCTTGGCGCCGGGCCCCCTGCCGCCGCTGCTCCCGGGTCCGCCCTCTGTGGCTCCGGTACTCTTGCATCCCGTTTCTGTCGGTCAGCGGTGGCGGTGGCACCACCCTCTCCAGCGCGGTCCACATGCGCCGGCGCATCGCCGGGATCCCCGTCCTGATCCCAGTTCCGCTCTCGCCTCCCTCTTCCCCCCGCAAGGGGTCAGGCCGTGAGCGCGGAGCTCCAGCAGCAGGTTCCACCCAGCCCCCAGAGGCCGAGAACGGGGCTCCTGTAGGGAACCAGGAGGCGTCCTTGGACGAGGTATCTGGAGAGAGTCAACTCGTGTCCATGGAAGTGGACGGCGCTGGCCACCCACCAAGGGGGCAGGCTACCAGACCCCCCCTTGCAGCGACGGGTGCCTCACCCCGGAGACCGCTAGGCGACGACGGAAGAGCGGGCTCCGAGCAGACAGCACTGTTCCAGAGGGTCGTCATTCCCTCTTCCGCCTTCAATACATCGGTGATTGCGGCTTTCGGCTGCGCCCTCCAGATCCCTCCTCCTCCTCTTGACCAGGATCAGTGTTCTGCGGCTTTCGGCTGCGACACCTGTTCCCCCCCCTCTCTTCCCCTCATTCACAACGTCTCTGCGGCTTTTGGCTGCGCCCCCCCGATCAACAGCGTAGATTGCATCGGACGCAGAAGAGCGCCCGCCCTGCTACCTGCCCAGGGAGTATCGGCCCCTCGTCGCCGACCCAGCCACGGTTGTACTATGTAAGCCTTGGCACGTCAGCACGCTGCCAGCGAACGGCACAGCCCAGCAGCTCGGCAGGTGACAGCCACCCGTTTGCCCTGGCGTCGGAGGCATCCGGCTTCTGCATGGGCAGCGTGGCAGGTGTTGAGTGGGTGTGCCAATCACCATGTGTATGCCTGCGCGGCGTGACTCTCCAGCGCCGCGCGCCGACGGAGGTCAGCAGCCCGGGGAGCTGCGAGGTCCCGTCCGGGTGCGCGAGGCTCCCCGACTCCTCCAGACTTCAGTCAGGCCTGTCCCCCTACAGGAGGAATAGTCCAAAATCGTTTTTTTTTTTTACAAAAAACAAACAAACAAACAAACAAAAAAAAAAAAAAAAAAAAAAAAAAAAACGGGGACGATTATTTTACAAGTGTTTAGCAGTGTTGGAATATGCT